ATCATTCATTCATCCGCAAAAGAGTATACAAAGTACAAAATAGGTGTTTGATCACATACAAGGCCGAAGCCGGAGCCTACCACTATTACATTCAATTATACTTAGAAAACTCAAGCTTGGGATTCTGCAGCTGCCTCGTCCCTCGGCTTCGAGGCTGCGTCATCCTCGGCTTCCTCATCATCGCCTCCCTGCAGCAGCTCCGAGTCTTCCAAGTCGGGCCTCTCTTCACCCTCGGGGAGGGGAACTCTTACATCCGGCTGCAGAGGGGGGAGCCCATATGCCGCGGGGTCGAATGCCTTCGGCTCGAGTTGGAGGTGCCTGGCTAGCCTCCGGTAAATGAGGTTTTGAGTAAAGAACTCGCCACCGTCATAGTAATCCTTGCCCTTCTGGGCTAGCCACATGGCCCCGGGGCCCTTCACCCAGGAGTCAACCTTCTGCTCCACCACCGAGGCCACCCACCCCTCGTGGTCCGATGCCGTCCAGCCCTCGGCGAGAAAAGCCTCAACTGCTTTCTTCCTCGCTTCGGCCATCGCTTCAGCCTTTTCATTTTCGGCGGCCTCGGCAACAGCCCTAGCAGTGGCGGCGGCAGACTCCTCGGCGGCGGCCTTCCCCTTGGCCTCGGCATCTTTCAACCTTTGCTCGGTGCCCTCCTTCTCCAGCCGAAGGGCTTCCTCAGCATCAGCAAGCCTTTTCCTGAGGGCCGCCCGCTCCTCATCAGCTTTCCTCAGGGCCTCGTCAGCCTGGATCTTCGCGATCCGCAGCTGCTCGACCCTTCGGGCCTGCTCAGACGCGGCCAAGGCAGCCTGCGAGACAAATACAAACATTCGTTACAGAAGTGGATTGTGGGAGATTGATACAAAAGTAAAGAGTGAAGGCAACCAACCATGGTGCTGTAGCTTGCCACCTTGTAGTCGAGGATGTCATCCTCGTAACGGGCCAGCACAGACCTATCCTTCGATGCCATCACACCCCTCAGAAACCCGACGGGATGGAGTGTGCCGTGAAGGACGGAGGTACCCGCCTTAACGGGGAACTGGATGAGCTCCGCCTGGCAAACCTCCTCGTTGATATGTGCCGGGGGGGAGCTAGGGGGGGTGTGCGGAAGGTTGGAGGAAGGTTGCTCCTCGGCGATGATTATGGGGGCATCTTTCTTCCCGGCGGCCCCCTTTTTCTGCTTCTTCATTTCCGGGAGGGCAAGGGCTTTGCCAGCCCTCTTTCTCCTTAGCTCCTCAGCCTGGGAGCCGCCGGTCTCAGCATTTGCGGCAGCAGTCGCTGCCTCCTTTGTCGGCTCCCCCTGCGGCAGGGAGCCTTCGGCCTTAGGGAAGAAGCCGTCGACGGGTTTCTGCTTCCCCGCCTCCTTCTTCTTCGGCTCCTTGGCCAGCTTCTTCTTCAGCGCGGCAAATGAGCTTACGTCCATAGCTTCACCTGAGACAAAGAAAGCACACAGCTGTTAGAATGCAAGTGCAACATGGAAATATTACTAAGTACAGAAATCAGGAGCCCTCGGTCACAACCTCCGGCACTCTGGTAGACGCGGTCAATAGGAGGGTATCTCTCATCCCTCTCCCCCGGCAGGCGGTATCGCCGGAATTCTAGCCTGAAGAGATCTTCGGGGAGCGTGGCGGCTTTGATGGATATCAGCTTCTCAGATCCCGGAGGTTTTGCCGTTAGCTTTCTTCCGTTGCCCTCGAGAGCAGCATTCCCAACCTTGAGGTGCCTACGGAAGTGGTTGCGGAGGGGCCTCGGGAACTCAGCCCCCAGTACCCGGAGGTAGCAGAACTTGTCTTTCCACCCCTTGTGGGACGAGGGCACTTCCGAGAACAGCCTCCATCCCGGGAGCTGTTGGAGATTGGCGAATCCCTCACTGTTGGCGGCCCCCCCCCCTGCACAAGTTGAAGGAGAGGAAAAATTGGTCGAGGGTAGGCTCCACCCCCCGGGAATCGCACAATGACAGAAACCCCGCCAGGTAGGAGTGGCTGTTAGGGGTCAGCTGGCAGGGGGCGAGTCCTACGAACCGGAGGTACTGCACGACGAAGGGATGCAGCGGGAACCTAAGGCCGAGATCCACGGACAGGATATGGGCGGAAAAGCACCCCTCGGGAGGATGAGACAAGAGATCCTCCGGGCCTGGTTCAATGACCTGCGCCGAGGGCCCTACCAGAAACTGCGTTGCCTGATAGTCCGAAGCCACAGCCGTCGTCTTCAGTTCGAGGGCGTCAGTATTCAGGTAGGAATGCCCTTCGGGGATGCCCACTGGCTGGCCAGCATCGACGGCAGCGGATTTCCTCTTCGAGGCCGCCCCACTCTTCTTCCTTTTCTTCCCGGAGGCCACCCGAATAGGGTCAGGGTTGAGAGGACGAGAGCAGCTCGCTTCCTCAGCATGCGAGGGCAGGATGGCGATGGTCACCTGTTGCCTCTCTTTTTCTTCTTCCTCTTCGGCAACTTGGAGCGCGAGGGCTAGCTCCTCATCATCCGCCACTTGTTCGAAGTCTTCGGCCTCAAGCTCCGCGCGAAGATTGTTTTGCACTTCTTGGGCCACCACCGCATCATTCCCCACCGACGATTGCTCACTAGACGACTCCACGTCCGAGTAGCTCTCCTCTTGTGCCGACGGCTCCCCCGAGATATCTTGATAATCGCTTTGCGATGACATTGTTTCCAACCGAGAGGTGTTTGATCGAGAGGGTTACCTAAAAAGTTGGGCCGAGGGATCCTAAGATCTCTAAACACTCGATCTAAGGGTAAAGGAGCAAAAAGTGCTAAGGCAATAAGAAACGAGGCAAGAACTGACCTTGTGACTTGGGGTTTGATCAAAAGAAGCACTTTATCTCTCTAGAAATTTTTGCAGAGCTCCGCTATCACACAGGTTCGCACAGGAGAGAATGAATTCGGCTTGGGGTATATATAGACTTTGGGCCTCGAGAACTGGGCCTCGACTTGAAAGCGCCATCATTACGCGCCTCTCCATCACCCAATGGGTGGCAGCCGCCCCCCTTCAGCCAACCGGCACATGCCACGTGTACCCCTCTTCCAACGGCTCTATTACAACGGACATGTTTCCAAATTGCCGGGTTGCCCCCAGGTAATAGCCTCCGCCTATCGCCAACTACAGCCTCCGGTGCATGTTTTCACCGGGCGCCTTCGAGCGATATAAGCCTTCAGCTTACCAGGCTCTTCTTAGTCCCCCCTGTCAATGGCACCCCTCGGGGTTACGCTCAAACACCATAACTCCTTCAGCCCGAACTCGCCTTCGGCCTAAAGGAGTGAGGGACTGGGACACACCCCTCGGGATCACACCCTTCGGCGGAGACATAATATCAAAAGTTTCCCCAAGCCACTTGCGGAGATGAGGCAGCCCTCGCCACAACACGTGCAGGCAGTACATCTATGCTTCCCCCGGAAAACCCACGACATGTGAGGGACTGGGAAAAGCCTTCTGCAGTCATACAGGTGTTACACTGCCCTCAGAAAGCCCTCGACATGTGAGGGCTGAGGGGAGCCCCCGGCGAACATGCGAAGGTTATGAATACCTTCCCTCAGAAAACCCTCGACATGTGAGGGCCTGAGGGAAGCATTCGGGAATCAGCAGAAGACGAACTCTCCAACAAAGGCACCCAACGAAATGATGCAGCCTCCGGGAGAATCAACACAACTACTCCTTTTCCCTCAAGTACCTTTCGGCAAAAGGAGTGAGGGACTCCTGATGGAGTATATGGCCCAAGAACCCCCGGCCCATAGACTCCTACTCCTGCTACACATATCCAATGAGCCCAGAGAACAACTCAGGCCCAAAAGCAACGGCCCAAGCCCCAAAATAGCCCGAAAAACATACTGGGGTGCCTTCGGCCTCCTTGGCCGAAGGCTCCAGAAACTCACGAAGTAGCCCTCTCTGACATACGGAGCCACTGGGAGAAAACGGCGAAAAACATGAGCCTTCGGCATTGCCAAGCCCTCGGCATCAGGGGAGCCTTCGGCTGAACTTAGCCCTCTGCCACTCGGGGCCTTCGGCTACACAGGGGTCCTTGGTTACACGGAGCCCTCGGCTACACAAGAAGCCTTCGGCCAAACATGCTCAATCATCGAAGATTCCTTTTGGGACAGCCAACCACCGCATTTAATGCCACGTCACATCCGCCAACCGCATTCAATGCGGTGAACGTACCACTGCCGGTGCCACCAGGCTGATGTGACCCTTCGGCCGTTGGATTACTGACACGTGTACCCTCATCGCATTTATTGCTGCTATAAATAGCAGCCCTTATTCGCCTTGTAAACCACGCTGAGTTCATTTTAATAAAATCGACTCTCTCTCCTCCTATTCGCTCTGACTTCTCTCTAAGTTATTCCCGTAATAACCCCTCGGATAAGATACCCCCCGGGTAGACTATCCATCAGTAGGATAGGTGGGGTAAGGGTAGAGTCGGGGGTAAGGGTAGTGTAGGTGGGGTAAGGGTAGTGTAGGTGGGGTAAGGGTAAGGTGGCGGTCGGTTAGGTAGGGTAGGGGTGGGGTAGGTGGGGTGGGGTCGGGGTGGGGTAGGTGGGATGGGGTCGGGGCAGGTGGGGTAAGGTTAGGGGTGGGGTCAGGGTAAGGGTAGTGTAGGTGGGGTAAGGGTAGGGTGGGGGTCGATTAGGTAGGGTAGGGGTGGGGTAGGTAGGGTGGGGTCGGGGTGGGGTAGGTGGGGTGGGGTCGGGGTAGGGTGGGGTCAGGGTAGGTGGGGTAAGGGTAGGGTGGGGCCGGGGTAGGTGGGGTTGGGGTTGAGGTGGGGCAGGGATAACAGTAGGTTAAGGGCAAGGGGTAAATTCGGAAACTGAAAAAGCTTAAAGTGCCGCTTAATTAATACAAGGGGGGTGGTATGCTTAATAAGCGGCACTTTCACCTCTTTCGGTTAGTAAGCGGCTTTTTAAGCAGTGTGCGTGTTTACTTCACCTGTCTTACTAACCTAACTGTGACTTTAACAGTGAAGTAAACACCTCCTAATAGATCGAGTAGAGCGTGACGCACACTCGATGGTCTCTGCGGTTGGGCGAAGTTCCTTACTTCCAGTATTCCTACTCCTAGGTTTTCCTCTTCTATTCCTCCATAAGTTTTCCCGGCCGAACTTGACCGTCCAAAAACAACACCTTTTAACCCGGTTCTGTCGGAGCCGCCATGAGTTCCGGCCCGGATAAGGAACCAGAAAATGCGCCGCCGAGCTCACAAGAAGCCGAGAAGAAGCCGCCGATCGAACCAATTCGGCTTCCATCGGTAGAGGAAATTCGAGGCCAAGACATATGGAATAACTGCGCAGTTCGCAGCGTCGCCAGTGGCATTATGGGTATGAAGTTATGAACTCCCTATAATCATCGTATGTAGCATTTGCTGTTGTTTTTTCAAAATTGAATTATTGGTAATTATTGGAATTTGTGACAATAGTGAGTCTGAATATATATTTATGTGTAGGAGGGGGGCTAGGACTAGGAATGGGTCTGTTTTTGGGCTCAATGGACACTCATATATTGGATGAGGAAATGAGTAGTAAGCAAAAAATTGTGTACCAAGCAAAGCAGATGGGTCGGAGGAGTTGGAGTTCCTGCAAGACTTTTGCTGTTATGGGTTTCATTTTCTCCGCTGCCGAATGTGTTATCGAGAAGGTGAATCATGTCTCATTGATTTAAAAAAGAAAAAGATGAAAATTTAAATTGAATTTTTCTGCTCAAGTTTTCTGGATCCAATATTTAGTCCTTCTCTGAAGATACAAATGGGAGTTTGACCAATTCTATGGTACATTTGTTACTGACTAGTATGGTTCAGTCTTGAATATAAGTTTCGGGCTTTGGGCACAAGCTAGTTTTATCTGCATGCCAATTTATTGTAATTTTCTATTTTTAATGTCTTCATGCCAACTTAACTATAAAACATGGTAGTAGTTTTTTTCCTATTGAATATATTATGAGTTTGGTTTCTGTGCTTTTTGCAAGGCTCGGGCGAAACGTGACACTACCAATACAGCTGTTGCTGGATGTGTTACTGGAGGCACATTATCAGCTAGAGGTTACTTCTCACTAAGTCACTTTGAACATTCAGAAATTTAGAGCCTGCTTTGTGGGATCACTTTGCTGAAATACTGAATCTGCTAAGTTTTTCTGAAAGGAGAAATATTTGGCAACTTTCATTTTAGGCTTTTAAGGAAGTCAAAAGATACTTATCCTGAATATACTGATTAAGCAAAACCACCCTACCAAACCCAGCCTTAGTATTGGAGAATGTACATTTTAGTATTTGACCCATTCTGTACTTAGTTTACCCACTTAAATGAGGCATCATGCTAATCTACAGTTTTGCTAACTACCAAACAATGCTCAACTGCAGGAGGTCCAAAAGCTGCATGTGTTGGCTGTGCTGGCTTTGCTGCATTCTCAGTTGTGATTGAGAAGTTTTTAGAGAGACTTAACTAACAATTTGCAATGTTATTAATACCCAACCGGAAGCTTTTCATCATTTTTTCTACCTCCAAAATTGGTGTTTGAGTATTTATTCTCTCTAATTATTAGATTTGAGAGAGATTTTTGTTGAAGGTGTTCTGTATCGTGTATTAATAAATGCTTTTTCTTGATTTCCTAAAGGTGATCACATACAAACTTGGTTAGGTAATACTTAGTACCATAGTAGTCACGGCGCATGGCGACGGACTTGGCGCAGGGGTAATATCAAGCGGCGTTGGCGTTGGCGCCAAAATGGCGCTCCAGTAAAACATAACATTAAAAAACTTTAAACATTAAAACAATATACATGCATGACTTAACCACCAATTAAAGAGTGAAATTGTTAAATAACCAAAGTAGTACTAAAAATAATCCAAACTGTCAAACACAATATAAGTAAAACACATCAGATGCATTATGATTTATTCATAATAAGTTAATATACATATTAAACATATTAAACATATTAAATGCTTAATATAAAATACAGTAATTAGTATAATAACATAACAATTTATAGAAGAGTATAATAACATTACATACATTAAAGCATAATCGTATAACACGGTATATGAAAAAGAAACAAAAGGAACAATCGTTCCATAAAAAAGAAAACTTTAAGAGGAATAAGACGTTAATTCCCTTTCTTTTGAGCACTGACCACAACATACAAAAACAAAAGACAATAACATACATAATAATAGTGATAATACACCTGGGTGGTCGCAGGAGGCTGGGGTGGTTGGATGGGTGCTGAGTGGTCGCCTTAGGCTAGGTGGTCGTTGGATGAGCGCTGGGTGGTCGCTGCTATCTGGCCGCTCCGACCACACAGCAACGCAGATACAGAGATAAGAGTGATTCTTGGTATTATTAGCAGTCGTTTGTTTTCATGTTCAGAGAGTCACGTTACTTATTGAAGTAGGGCTGGGAAGTCAACATACGAATGTAGATGTGTGATTGTTGTCATAGTTGAATGGTTCAAGTAATAATGTGTTCAATTTTCTGAAATCTATTTAAATGGTTTTATTTAAAATCACTTCGAATTTAATATACTGCATAAACAACGAATGTAGATGTGTGATTGTTGTCATAGTTGATCATTCACAAAACATAGTTGGGTAAACGGTGTTTTAAAGCCCTTTGGACAGCAAATATTTTATGCCTTCGTGGCTGTCTTGTGGTATTATACGTTTGATATTAAATTGATAAGGTGTGAATAAAGTAGAATATAGCTCGATATAGGCTAAAGGGTCCAATAGGCACCTATACCCTTCCGGGCTGCTCAATTTGCTCCCTGAACTCAAAAAAGCTTCAATTAGCACCATGAATAGGGGTGGACTCGGGCCGGGCGGTCCGCCCCGGAACCGGCCAGAACTAGTCACTATTTGAACCGGCCCGAACCGCCCCGAACCGCCGACCCGGCCAGGGACCGATCCGGGTAGGCCCGACCCGCTGGGGTTCCGGGCCGGGCTCGGGCCCCTCAAATGGTGAACCGGCCCGGCCGGTTGGGGCCAGTTCCGGGCCCATTTTTTTTCCTTTTTTTTTGATTTTTTTTTTTTAAGTTTTTGGATTGGGCTGGGTATTTTGGGCCATTTGAGGTGGTTTAGGGTGGTTTGGGGGTGAGGGGGGAGGGTTGGGGGTTAATTAGGAAAAGCCAAAAAAAAAAACGAATCGAGGTCCGGCCCGACCCGGACCCGGGGGTTACCCGGGCCGGTTCCGGGCCTCCCCTTTCATGAACTGAGGCCCGGCCGGGCCCAGGCCCGAACCGGCCCAAGTCCACCCCTAACCATGAACTTGATGAAAAGATCCAAATTTTATTTTTTGCATGTCATAAGTAGGTCACCGTCACGTCACGCGATAGGGTGTCAATCGTGCATGAGAAGTGGCAACTTAGGGGGTCAAATAAGCCCCTGAACCTGACCGAATTGTTCAGTTTACCCTCTCAACCTCAACCCTTAAAAAGCGTCAAAAACACAAAAAAATAGAAATAAAAATGAAAATAGAAAATTAAAAATAGAATAAAAAATAAGTGAAAATATAAAATATAAATATTTTTTATTCTTTGTAAATTTAAAATAAAGAAATAAGATATAAACTAAAAGAAATTCATTCTTATATATAATACGTAAAAACGACTTCAATATATTTATAATAAATGATATAAATATGTAGTTACTATTTTTATATTTTAATTCTTATATATGAGTAATGTTTATGTTACATAAAAATTGTATATTTATTTTTAGTATATTTTTAAATAAATTAAAAAATATGGCATGAAAAAATACAAATGGATAATTTAAACATAATGCTTCATATAAATTTCAAACCAAAAATCTAAAATTTGTGCTATATTACAAACCATTAGATATAATACATAAAATAAAAATTTAAATATAGTTGGTAAAAATATACGTATATTTCTTATATGAAATATACGTAGTAGTTATAAAATATGGAAATAAACTTAAAGAATTTTTTAGTTTATATTTTACTTTTAATTTTGAATTTGCTATGAACGATAAATATTTCATATTAATATTTCTTATATTTTAGACATGTATTTTATTTATAATTTGTTTTTATTGTTTTATTTTATTTTTCAAAATTTTGACATTTTTTCGGGTTGAAGGGGAAAATTGAACGATTTGGTTGGGTTCAAGGGCTTATTTGACCCCCTAAGTTGCCACGTTGCACAGTTGGCACCCTACCGGGTGATGTGGCGGTGATCGGTTTTGTCACGCCCCAAACCTACCGGACACGTCAACAACACGCCGTACAGTACGAATAGTCAACCGCAATCTAACACATTCATACTATACGAGGCGTCTAGACTATCATTCTCACGTAGTACATCCATAAACCAACATAATGTAAAATCATTCATTAAAGCAGCGGAAACGATATTACAAGTGTTTAAGCCACACTTGGCAAATTAGCCATTGCAAACCCCCAAATAGTCTTTCAGAAAAACAATATCCATGAGCATTATATGTAATTGTTTTTAAAATAGGAACGGAGGAAGTAGAAACCATGTCATCTCTCCTTGGATCCTTCCGTAACAACAGCGATAGTAGCAACCTTCAAGTTCTACCTGAAACTGTGAGGTGACCTCCCCCGTGAAGGGGATGTCAGTACTTTGAAGCATTTGAAAAGTACAATGACAACTATACTAAGTATAATCAATGTTTCAATTTCCAAGACCCTCAATCTAGGGTGTTATTATATTATAGTTAACCCACGTTCTTTTATGCTAGAGCTCGGCTCATAGTCATACTACATTTTGCTAGAGCCCGTCTCATAGTCATACTACATTTGGATAGAGCTCGGCTCATAGTCATACTACGTTGTACTAGAGTTCGGTTCATAGTCATACCACATTTTGCTAAAGCTCAGCTCATAGTCATACTGCATTTTGCTAGAGCTCGGCTCATAGTCATACTACATTTTGCTAGAGTTCGGCTCATACTCATACTACATTTTGCTAGAGCTCGGCTAATAGTCATACTACATTGTGCTAGAGCTCGGCTCATAGTCATACTACATTTTGCTAGAGCTCGGCTCATAGTCATACTACATTGTGCTAGAGCTCGGCTCATAGTCATATCATCTAATCTATCTCTAAACAATTTCTTAGCCTAGACTCCATTCATTTTGAGTAACCCTTAAGGCCTACTCCTAATGTAACTTGGAGTTCATAAAGTTCACCTTAAAAGTATCTCTTAAGGTTACTTAGGGCGTACCCACCACAATTCACTATCTTGGGATTAGCTTCAAAGAATAATTGAACTAACATTTCCGACTAGTATTTCTATCCTAGTCGTTTGATCTTAATATACCCAAGTTCTAATTCATAATAGTTTGTTTATTTCAATTAACTTTTACATCCAAGTATAATTTGGCTCTAATATCAAAATATCACATTTATCCTTTCATGACTTCTTTACATGAGGTAAAAGTATATTTATCATAATAAAATTCATGGTTAATACAAATATCATGCCATTATATTCATAACACATAATCTTACACAATTTATTCATAAATTTGTATATTATGCATTTTTACTTATAAACAATAATAATTTCATTTAGGCATGTTTAATTACTAATAACCCATGCCAAACACATTTAATTCATTTAGGTAATCTTATGAAATTAACCCAATAGTTATAAGCAATATAGTCGGTCATCCTCACCTCGAATTAGCGCTATGAAGTTCTACCCCTCGGTTGAACTCCGGTGAAACTACGGTGACTTTTGATGAACTCCGGCGACTCTTCCAACTCTGTGAAAGTTCTAGGAATACCTTATACAAGTTCCAAACAAGGTTTTATAATCATAAAACCCATATTAATACAAATAACCTCTAAAAGGTTATTTTCCGACGAACCGGTCGTTTTGGCTTCTAAGTCCGTTCTTGGACTTAGAACCACTTTCCAACCCATTATTCCACATTCATATCATGCAGAACAATCCCAAGGGTTCTTCATATGATAAACATCTCATATGATAGAAGAAAAATAAAGGAAAAGTTATGATAAGGTTATTACCTTAATTTTCACACTTTTTCCTAGTTCTTTCCTTCTATAATCTTCTTCCTTAGACCACCCTTGCTTGAGCTAGAGTTGCAGCAATGGAGAATATCTTGAGAGCTTCCTTTCCCTCCTTTTAATAGCTTGGCCGAAAATAATGGAGTGGGTGAGTGGAGGAGATAGCCTATTTGGCTTTTCTCTCAAAATAATGTGGAAATGGACCCCCCATTGTACCTTTGATAGCTTCATCCCACCTCCTCCTTGTCTCACAGCTCAATAGGTCACCTATCCAACTATGTTTGACCTTTTTGAGGTGCAAAATTCGTGGGTTGGCTCCCACCCCTGTGGGAGGTCACCCCTTTTTGTCCAAAAGTGTACAATCGGTTCCAAAAGTTGTATTTTTTGAACTGTTTTAAATATATTTCATTTTATCGAGTCAAATAAAATATATTATGTGTTCTCAATCATTATGACATTTAGAATGAATATACATTCCCCAACTTAAATTTTGAAGTCTCCGAAATTCATTTTCGGACGGTTTTCTTCTAAATTACCAATACCGGCGGTAATTTCGCTCTGTTTGATCAACCGGTCAACGTTAGGCCTTTCTATGGTCCAAATAACATATCCACC